ATATTGATATTTCATTGATATACCGAATCCAATATTTAAAATATAATTAAAATTTAAATATATTTTGATAGATTCTTGGGATAGTAATGATTATGTGAGTATATTAATAAATGATTAGGTTATTTAAATAATAAAAAAACCAAATCCATTTGGTCCTTAAAAATTATGCGGATTAAATTACTATGGAGAAGAATTTCTCTAATTTAATTATTAAACAAATTATAATTAATAAAATATAAAGATAAAATTAAAAACCACAACTGATTAGCCGGCAGACGATGAATCTTTAGGAATAAGAGATTTTGTGTTTACAGTTTTTAATTGTTTAAATGAATGTTCTGCTTGTATTAATGAGGTTTCGTGTACAAATTGTATTTAAGGATATTATCTAGATAACTCTATTTGTATTTTAGAATGTCCTGTTGGGAAGTTTAAAAATGATTTAAATAGAACTTGTACATTATGTGATAATAGTTGTTTTTCTTGTACAAGTTTAAGTATATGTTAAATTTGCATTTAGGACTTTTATCTAGATAATTTTTTTTGTGTTAAAGAATGCACTATTGGGAAGTTTAAAAATGATTCAGATAAAACTTGTACATTATGTGATAATAGTTGTTCTTCGTGCACAAGTTTAAGTATATGTTAAAGCTGCAAATAAGGATTTTATCTAGATAACACGACTTGTATTTCATGTGATAATAGTTGTTCTTCGTGTACAAGTTTAAGTATATGTTAAAGCTGCAATTAAGGATTTTATATAGATAACACAACTTGTATTTCATGTGATAGTAGTTGTTCTTAGTGTACAAGTTTATCTTTATGCATAAGCTGTAATTAAGGATTTTATCTAGAAAATGTTTCTTGTATTTAAGAATGTCCTGTTGGGAAGTTTAAAAATGATTCAATTAGAGCTTGTACATTATGTAATAATAGTTGTTTTTCATGTACAAGTATAACTTTATGCTAAAGCTGTAATTAAAACTTTTTTCTAGCTGACTCTTTTTGTGTTTCAGAATGTCCTACTGGAAAGTTTAAAAATAATTCAAATAGAACTTGTATTTCATGTGATAGTAGTTGTTCTTCATGTACAAGTGTAAATTAATGTTAAAGCTGCAATTTAAGGTTTTATCTAAATAATTCAATTTGTGGTTAAGATTGTCCTATTGGTAAGTTTTAAAATGATTCAGATAAAACTTGTACATTATGTGATCATAGTTGTTCTTCGTGTACAAGCTTAAGTCAATGTTAAAGTTGCAAATATGGATTTTATCTAGATAACTCTTTTTGTTTTTAAGAATGTCCTATTGGGAAGTTTAAAAATAATCCAGATAGAACTTGTACTTCATGTGATAATAGTTGTTCTTCGTGTACAAGTTTAAGTATATGCTAAAGCTGCAATTAAGGATTTTATCTAGAAAATGTTTCTTGTATTTAAGAATGTCCTATTGGGAAGTTTAAAATAATCCAGATAGACTTGTATTTAATGTGATACTAGTTGTTCTTCGTGTACAAGTACACTTTATGCTAAAGCTGCAATTAAGGATTTTATCTCGATAACTCTATTTGTATTTAAGAATGTCCTATTGGGAAGTTTAAAAATGATTTAAATAGAACTTGTACTTCATGTGATAGTAGTTGTTCTTCATGTACAGGTTTATCTATATGCTAAAGCTGCAATAAATTGTTTTATCTAGATAACTCTTTTTGCGTTAAGCAATGCCCGATTGGTAAATTTAAAAATGATTCTGATAAAACTTGTACTTTATGTGATGTTAGTTGTCTTCGTGTACAAGCACAACTTTATGCTAAAGTTGCAATTTAAACTTTTTCTAGATAATTCTTTATGTGTTTCGGAATGTCCGATTGGGAAGTTTAAAAATGATTCTAATAGAACTTGTACTTCATGTGATAGCAAGTGTGAAAATTGTACTAGTTTAACTTTATGCTAAAGCTGTAATTTAGGATTTTTTTTTGATAATTAGAGTTGCTTAATAGATTGTCAATAAGGCAAATATAAAAATGCAAGTAATAGATAATGTTCATTTTGTGACAATAAATGTAAATCATGTGATAATGGTTTGACTTGTAATGGCTGTTTTGGAAATAGAGTTGGAGATTAATGCGATTGTCCTTTGTATTCAATCTTTTCAAATGATTATTAAAAATAATGTTTTGAATGTAAAAATGTGCTTATTGGATGTGGGTAATGCACTATAAATGAATGTATCTCATGCATTCCTGATTTATATTTTGATTTTAATTAATTGAAATAATGTGATTCTTGTTAAGAATTAAATGTTTAAATTATTTTTAGTAACGATTTTGAACTATTATTTGTTAATTTTGATTATTTTAATTTAGGAGTAATAACTAATCTAATTTTGAATAATTCGAATTTGCAAAATGATTAATAAAAATCAAGTTTTTCTTATTTACTTTGTTCAGAAGTTTTAAATTAATAATTTATAACATAAAAATTAAGTAATGATATTGCCTGTTCTTTTATTTAAAATAAGCTTACTATTAGATTAAGTCCTTAAAGCATAATAAACAAAGATGATATAATAGTTATTAAAGAAAATGTATTCAAAATTACATATAAAGGAGTAGAATGTACTTAATTTATTTAAAAAATAAAAGGAAAAATTATTTATGATTAAAATCCTTTAAGTCCTATAGTTACAATAAATTCACCCATTTTAATTACGAAATGGAAGAATTATTTATTCAAATTAGTTAATTATAAAATATAGGAAAAAGAATTCCTAAAAGTATAAATTGGATATCAATAGCTTCATCTGAAAGTTAATAATTTATAAATTAATTGAATGCATAATTATAATAATAATAAAATAATTTTATATTAGTTATTCCAAGTATGACTTTTAAAGGAAGTAGCTTTTATCAATTCGAAGTATAAATAGAAACTGTTTTTTAACAAAAGTAAAGTGTAGTTATAAATATAAATACAAAAAATGATAAATTTATTGATTTATAATTAGAAAACAGTAAAGATATTGTTTTTAGGTATGAAGAATTCAAACTTAAAGTTATTTTTTATTATCTATAATGCGATCCTATAGAAAAATTAAAAAAAGTGAATGAAAAAATACTATTAAAAATCGAATAAATTATTAATTTGTAAAATAATTTAAATATAAATTTTGAGAATTAAACTATGGATAATGAACATACAATTAATATATAGCCTTATATCTTAGTTTTAGATTAATAATATGACATAAAAATAACTGTCTCTGATGTTAACAATAGTTAAATATTTTAAGAAATTATACACTCATTTTAGGTAAAAAAAAGCCAACAAATAGTAAAAATTTAAGGTTTGAGCAATATTTAATCTTTTTCGAATTCTTTTTATGTAAATGCTTTCATTGATAATTTAGATTTATCTCCAAGTGAAAAAGAAGTATAAAAAAACAATAACTATGGTATTAAAACTAAATGGAAATGTATAACTGCAAAAAGTTAAAGCGATTGTCGGGATTATAAAAATGATTTAATTGTTGACCCTAATATGGAATAAAATATATTGTAAATAAAAGTATAAGAAAAATCTTTAGAAGCCTATAATCTTTATTATTTTATTTTAGAAGGAGAAAAAGATGGTATCGTAGTTTAAGACATATCAAGTTTTATTATTTTGGAATAAAATATACCTCCTTTAAATTCTATTACATCAATAAACGATTTTTCTTAAAGAATAAATTTAAATTAATAAATTTTTGTATAATTAAATTATGAAGGAAAAAATAATTTAGACAATTTATTTTTTAGTGGCGCTGTATTGTATTAAAACGATGTGAAAAATACTATAAAGTTTTTTCATAATTAAGTAAGATTTTAAACATGGAATTATTTTAATGATTTTATAAATGAAGAAGAAAATTCTTATTAAATAAGATTTGCAGTTTTTGATCCTTAGTATATAATGCCTTCTTTAATTATTTTTTCTTTAAAAGCTAATTTGCCGCCTTTAAATTGCCTTTTTAAAAATTTTAATAATTAATAATAAGAAATTTTTAGTTTAAAATAAAATTATGTTTTCTAAATTAATAACTGCTAAGATTAAGATTAGCCTCTATATTATAATTTCTTTTATTATAAAAGTTAAGAAGATTTTTAATATGAAATTTTAAATCCGCAATTTACTAAGAGATATGCTCTAAATGTAAAATCTACTATCAGTAGAATATCAACGATTTTGCCGTTCGGGGCAAAAGTAATCATAGGCTGTGTATTTGATAATTTGGGTGCGGTTAGAAATATGACTTAAAATGTTGAAATAAAAAATTCTTATGAAAACGTTTAATAATATGTTTAGTTAGTGCAAGAAACTTACAAAATAATTATTTAAATACCTTTTAAATAACAAATAGTTATTTAACTATGTATTCTTGTTTAAGATATTGTTTCTAATATATTAATAAACGAAGAGCTAAAATAAGATTAAAATTTAATTAAAATTGTCAAAAATATTTACGAAGATTTACTTTTTTAATAATAAAAATTTAATGATAATCAAGATGTTTAAGTCTAAATATAAATGACAATTAACTTAATTTCTTAAAACTTATTAGATTAAATAATGAATATTTTAAAATACAAAGATATATTAGATTATTTATCGAAAATAGAATAAACTTTAATTGAATAAGAAAATATAATAAAAAAAATATAAGCTAAAGACGTTTAGTAATATTAATAATATTTTTCGTCTATATAATTAGTTTTATAATAAGTTTCTAGTATATAAAGTATTCAAAAAATAGACAGAGGGAAATTTTCGGATGAAGAAAATATTTTTTTAGATAAATAATATGTCGGTTTAATCTAACTTTCATCAGAAATTTTAAATCTCAATGTTATTCCTAACGAGTCTTAGATTTCTTAAAAAAATATAGTTAAATCTTAAAAAGTAAGCTTTAAGTTTTTAAAATAAAATTACTTGACTAATTCTTATGAAAATAATGAATAATAATAAAATTAAGATGATTTTAATGATAATGAATAAAATTATGAAAGTTATAGATGGAGAAGGCTAAGAAAAAATTACTTATGATGTATAAATAAGAAAGTATCCTGCTAATATAGTTAAATATGATAAAAGTTTTCCTTATCCAGATAAATAATTATTTTAAGTATTTGATAATTAAATAACTTATTAAACTGTTAATAAATAGACAAATGAAATATAAAAATAACCTATTAATACTTAAATTGCTAATACATTCACTCTTCCTAATCCTTCGAATTCTACAACTGGGTTTTCGTGTTTAACTTAAATTAATAATAAATGGGAATAAGGAAACTGTAATAAAGTTTAATAAATAAATAAAAAGAAATTAGTATCTTCAGTTATATGTTAATGTAAAAAATAGGGAAAATAAACACTAGTGGATGATATAGAAAGCATTTTTACGGATAATCAGAATTTAAAAAATATGTTTAGTGAATAAGGAATTGAAAATTTAAAAAATTTTAGCGAATGGTATAAATATGCAACTGTATGGATTATTTATATATCGAATTAATTCTACATTATATTTTTAGTTTATTTGAGATAAAAAGATAATGCCGCTATCGTTAAAAAAAAAATTACTGATTTAATAAAATAAGATTATATTAAAAAAAGTTCTTTGTACTTTAAAAATTTAGG